CGAGCCCCCTTCTCGATTGAGAACTGGGTGTGTTGCTCCCTCAGCTAAGTAAATTACCGCTAGCTGTTGCATTGGAACCAGGGCCGTTTCTAGCCAATTTGACGCCCTAGTCGAAATCCCTATACCTCCGTAAGGATGCATTTAACTCGACAAAGCGGTCTAATAAAGGATGTACTGATCTCGTGAATTAGCGAATTTTACTATACAAATATTTTTTAATTGGATGTTAAAGTTTATATGGGAATATGACATGACACGCTGATCCTTTAACAATGCATTGGCGCAAAAAACGCACATCTTTTGGACAAATCTGCCACAAATATTTGTATATATACACTTAATATACACTTTATTTACTGTACCAATATTTTTAATTGGCCTTTGAACTTAGCTTTATTGCATGGCAAAAAAAAGTGTTACCTTGCCAAAGCACTGACAGAGCCCACTGATCTAATGGCGTTGTTGAGCGCTCCAAATGCAAACTTTGCATGCAACAATCAGGCAGTAATTGACAGCACTCTGATCTAGTGGCATACAGGCATCGTCAGATTGACAGTACTCTAGCCCAATAATGTTGGGGGATCCAGTGGGGGCGGCAGTCATATTTCAGGGTGACCGTGCCACTCTTTATCACAACCCTGCTAAAAGTGCCAGTACGTGCACTCATTGGCGCCCCTTCAGCTGGTGGCGCCCTAGGCGACCGCCTAGCTCGCCTATGCCTAGAAATGGCCCTGATTGGAACATGCTGCTCGATTGAGAATTGGGTGTGTTGCTCCCTCAGCTAAGTAACTGCTAGCTGTTCCAGCATTGTTTTTAGTTTTTAAAAAGTGAAAAAGCATCTCAGTATCACAACTACAGAACACTTAGCAGTTTTTCTGGTAGGATATGATGAACTATATATTTATACTTTCTTGTTTAATTTCTCACACAAAAAATGAAATGGCAAAGTATTTCACATAGGCTTCTTCTGTTTTGTTAAGCATAACTTTAGTAAACTAGTGACATGTCAATACCACAGATGAGCTCTTCTAAACCACATCTGTGGTCAGAAAGGCTAAATAGGAAGTTGCTGCCAACAAATGAGAATGTATTCATTTAAATTAAAGAGAGAGAGAGAGATTAAAAGAGAGTTGGGCAACAAGAGTGACCTAACAAGTTATTTTAGAGCATAGAATTAGATTCCATCTTATTTCCAGATTGTGTGAATTCTGAGTGAGTATATTGTCTTTTAATTGAGTTTTGGTTGTTAAGCCTACAATTCTTCAGATAAAGAAAAATGTTTAAACTATGATCGGATGGTTCTATCTAGTGGTCTTTCAATGACCCGTTTACAAATATTAACCAGTTAACTTAAGAAACTCCTACAGATTCAATGTAAATTAGCCTATGTGTATAGCAATAATAAAAGTTTTTATCCAGCTATTTTATCTAGACATTTTATCTAGCCAGATTAGCTATTTGTCTAGGAAATAACAGTGAGGAAAAAAAATCTTCAACTAAAGGTGACTAGAAATAATTTAGAAATACATTAAAACAGTAACACACATAAAGGTAACGTTTAATATAATTCGATAAACCCAAGTGATTATGTAACACAAACTTCACTTTATCTATATGTGAGATGGTTATATTCTGGTGAGTGAAATCTTTTATAAAATTTTTTTAGGTCTAGAGAAATAACGAGGTTAAATTGGGGAAATATCAGAGTTGCTGACAACTAACAATAGAACATATGACCAGCAAAGTCTGCTGATTCTGTAGCAACTCTGAACAAGTCACACTTTAGAACTGCAATCCTGGACATTTGAAAATGTGACACAGGGTGTAGCCAGAAAATATCAGACACAGTATCACTGCAGGCAGGGCCGGGTTAACATAAGCGCTGGGCGGGGCTGAAGCCCCAGGGCCCGCGGATTGAGGGGGCCCGATGTGATTGGCTGTGGAGGAAAGGAAAAGTAGACCTAGAATTGACTGGCCATCGGGAGCACCCAAGCTTTTCCCAGTGTGCCGATTGCAGAAATCCCACCACGCCCACATATTAGTGTCTGTGCTATTTCAGTCCAAAAGATATGAGTGATAAAAATGTCTTTGTACTTGTTTACACTAGAGTTGCATGCATCTTTTAATCGTCTCGGCTTTACTGTAGTGCATGGGAAACAAACACTAAAAGCCAAGTGATGAAACGACACTACGTTACGTGATTAAACCGCGCAGCACAAAAGAACAGCTGGACCACACCGGACCGGTGTCTCCACCACGACTGTAGCTCGACACTTTCGCCGCTCTATTGAAGTGATAAGCAGCGCTTGCCCATTTGAATTCGACACACACATGCAGTGCCGATCCTAGACTTCTTGGGGCCCTACGCAAAACTGTGTCGGGTGTGGGGGGGAGGGGGTGAATCGCGCTTGCGGAAAGCGCTTGAGAAACAGTGTCCCTTCCGTGGCTCGGTATGCTTTCAACTCGTTTTTTAGTCTCGAGCAAGACTGTACGACATTCACGTTACATGGTTTGACTGATTTTTACGTAGAAAGGGCAACAGTGCACCGCATTAAAAGAAATGGTCATTCATGTTTTCATAACCACTGGCCAAATTCAAAAACGAAATGAAAATTAAATCATATTTGAGAGCAAGGGGGCCCCCTGGTGTTTCGGGGGCCCTACGCAGCTTGCGTATTTTGCATATAGGGAGGATCGGCTCTGCACACATGACACTTATATTTGAACAGTAAAGTCCATGTGGTGAAGCTAGCGGAAACCAGATTGAATAGCACCGACCATGTAAACTAAAGTGTAGAGGTAAACTGTACAAAACTGTAAATAAACAATTTAATCCACAGCACCACACCTAGGCTGTTTAACATGCAGTTACTGACACTGTAGAAATATGGCATTAATTATATTTATTATTAATGTCACAAAAATGATTATAAGCTAATTATAGCCTATTAAATATTGGGTAAAGTAAAGGCAATAAATCACTTTTATAAAGGTTTACTAATACTATACGGTTAACTCTGGATTCAAGAATAAGATTTTCATTAGGGCAACTACAAAGGAGAATTTAATAGTTCTAATAAACTTTAATTGCAGAAAAATATGAATTCAATATTTAATTCTATATTTAATGTTAAAAAAACACATTATTTTCCACATACTGTACATTATTGTTTCTCCTCTATGCCCCGCCTTTCTGAAATGCGTCGATTTTTACAAAGAAGGAAAAATTTAAATCGCATCATATGACCCCTTTAAACTTTCTGCAAGCCATTACTATAATGCCTAACTATATAATACTATATATAATACTTAAATTATAAATCGCTGTCAAATGAAACATATGAAAGAGTTTTGCTGCTAGTATACTTTGCTATAGAATGCGGTAAGTGGAAGTAAATACGCTGGCTGAGATTCTACCGGAAATACGTCAGCAGCGTTCGTGCATAGAGTCTATTGTCGACGATTTGATGTGATCCTGGCTGGATTGTTAAATTCTTCGAAGCTCATCCTGGAGTTGCTGTCATAGCAACAGGTCCGTTAGCTCAAACCTGCTCGGGAGCGGCTTATTTCACGTAAACAGGGTTAAATAATTACGGATTATAATGACTTATACTGTCTTTTTTTCACGTTTCGTTGCATCGCCCCGAGTAAACATAAAACCATGTCTGCATTTGTGATCGGAGAAATGACAAACAACAAGCGCTACTCTACACTGCTCTGGCTGGATTGTTAAATTCTTCGAAGCTCATCCTGGAGTTGCTGTCATAGCAACAGGTCCGTTAGCTCAAACCTGCTCGGGAGCGGCTTATTTCACGTAAACAGGGTTAGATAGTATCATTATAAGTAAAGATGATAGGCTACTGAAATTCCCAGCCACTGCTACTTTCTTACAAGTGTACCTTATTAAAGCAGGAAAAACGATATATATATAAAAAAAATAAAGGCTTATTTTCAAAATTATTTTGAAAATAGCCTAATTAAAATGTTGCTTAATCTATAAAAATAGACATGGACAATTTTACTCACTGCGAGATTTATTCGTGAAGGAATAATTATCTCATAATTTTATTGCAGTCATACACACATTATGTAGGGTACAGTTTGTCTGAGCCGTACATTATGCGGATGGCTTTGATAGCCTATGGCAGGATAGCCACTTCTCAAATCTCAAAATGCTTTTATGATGCACAGTTGATTTAAACACAGTCGTTATGTCTTAAGATGGATTTTATGGATTAAGAAACTTTGATTAATGCTGTCACGTATAACAAATCCACCTTAAAATTAAAGTTATTGCAATACTCTTAAATCTTGACATTGGAAAATACAAAACCTGTACAAAAAAAAAAGAAAACTTACACATTTTATTTATCAATTAGATCTTTTATGTCATTTTACTCGTTAGGCCAGGGGTGCCCAAACTCGGTCCTGGAGGGCCGGTGTCCTGCAGAGTTTAGCTCCAACCCTAATCAGACACACCTGAACCAGCTAATCAAGTTCTTACTAGGCATATTAGAAACTTCCCGGCAGGTGTGTTGAGGCAAGTTGGAGCTAAACTCTGCAGGACACCGGCCCTCCAGGACCGAGTTTGGACACCCCTGCGTTAGGCTGTTTCCTTGATATTAATTATATGATGTAATTTCGTTGCTGTATTGCCGCCAGCCAATCACTGCATTGCTGATCATGGTTTTGAGCATCGATATATCTGCCCTTTCAAATGAACATGACAACACAAAGTAATCTCAGACAACTTAATCCAGATATTTTAATCAAATCTGCTAAATTGTTTGAAGAACCAAATTAGCCAGAGATCAGTTATCGGGATTAAAAGATCTGGAGTCTGTCAAATCATCTCAGATGTATTAGGCGAGGTACGAAGAACATTTGACATTTGGACATTTAAAAAATGTAACAGGGTGTAGTCGCAAAACATAACACACTGCAGGAAAACAAATAAGAGCGCCATCAAGTGGAGATATGGAAAAATAAAGAATCAACACAGTTGTCTGCTTTAACATATTTTCATTCAAACAAGCAATGAAGACTGATTAAAAAATGTGTGACATCTTAATATTTTGTATTTATTTTTATTATGAGGGAGAGTTTGATAAATAGGTTGCAAATGTAAATTTGACTCTAGATATATTTCCAGTGTTGGTGTATTTCCTGGTATGGGCAGTCGTGGCCTAATGGTTAAAGAGTCGGACTTGTAGCCCAAAGTTTGATTGTAGATGGGGGGAGTGAATGAACAGCGCTCTCCTCCACCCTCAATACCAAATTCAGAGTATGGGACGCCGTACTTGGCTACCCATCACTGTCTGTTTAGTTGAGACTTAGACATCTTTACACCAAGAGGTTTTACAACCATAGCGCTACATATATAAATTGAAGTTTCAGATCCACAAAGCCACTGGTACATAAAGAACAACAAAACAAGCATAAATCCAGACATGAAGTTGTCTACGAGATGTTGTTAGAGATACTACAGAGAGTATGACGTCAGTTTCGATGTTGTTGTGGGTATCAGTCTGGAAGGGTGTGTCCGTTTTACAAACTGCTCAGCTTTGACATGAGCTATGCTTCTCGTGAGGTCATAATACCTGTGGGCATGACAAAGATTACATTTTCGACACATTCGAAAATTCAGCACAAGCTTCCTGAGAAGCTTCAAGTTTTGTTTAAAATCTAAACATCGATAACATATCAAAATATCCTGATTGTGAAATGCTCAGAAAGTATGGCTGGGGGTTGGGCCACTTTTGTCCAAACTTGTTCACCTGGTTTTCGCTGCATTCTTTGAGGAACACATTCAGAGAGAGAGAGAGAGAGAGAGAGAGAGAGAGAGAGAGATAATGTCTTGAATGACTTTACCTGTAACACTGAATGTCTCATTACTGACCATTAACACTGTATGTGTATTTGTCATATTATCGTGATCGCCATTTTATCCCTTATCTTCTGACAGACAGATATTTTAGCATGACCTGTTTATGTTGCTAATATATTAATAAACATGAATAGGAGAAACCCATTTTTGAGGGGTAACTTTTTTTGCACAATATGTGGCTTCAAATGTCATATTATTTTCCCACATCAACTATAAATGCAAGTGGTTTAGAACTCTGCTTATGTAAATTAATGAATGGTGTTTTAGCGGTTGTGTGTGAATTTATTGTGGTAATCAAATGTAAACAATTATTGTCATATGCCATCACCCAAACCCCCATTTCATTATAATCATTTTAATTGAAAATGGTAAGCAGATACACTCTAAAAAATGCTGGGTTGTTTCAACCCAACTTTGGGTCAAATATGGACTAACCCAACCGTTGGGTTAAATTTTTACATTAAATTTTTAACTCAAAAGTTGGGTTAGTCCATATTTGACCCAAAGTTGGGCTGAAACAACCCAGCATTTTTTAGAGTGTAGGAACCATTATAATTCAAACAGCAAATACAATTGGTAACACATATAAACATAAAACATCCTAACAATGATAAAACATAAGTCACTTTCACAAATGTCTATCACCCCCCCCTCCCCCCAAATGGTCAAATGTATTAACAATGATCAAATTTAAATGTAATATATAAGGTACATTTAAATTACTTTATTTTCTTAAAATGGTTTGTTGTCTTGTAAATCTTTTTTTTTTTACAGTCTTACAAGTTCTGTTTATTTTATTAGACTTTTATTATTTTAGAATTCTTTGTTTTTTTTAATTAGACTCTTATCCTTTTGTTGTCTTTTTCTGTCCTTAATATTTTATTCAACATTTTTGTTCTTAAACTATTTTTAAAATTAAGTATTACATGTTTTTTTTCTCTCTCTCTCTCTCCCTCTTTATTAAGTATGCATTTGAATCACTAATGTGAATGAAATGCAAGTAGTATATAGAAATTACATATGTGGGATATCCTGAATTTTGTACAATATAAATATTATATAAATAAACTTGCCTTGTCCTAAATCTAGTCACCTTCCATTAAGTTTCGTTTCTATAGTCTTTGTCATATACCTTGCAGCAAATACTGCAGTTTCACCTGGCAGGTATCAGAGTTTGCATGTGTGGAGTTTCAACCGAAAATCTGGTTGGTGCTTCACATTTCCAAAATGGAGATAGGAAGTTTTGCGTTCACGCTCGATGAGTCAAGTGGCCATATATGGTCATGGGCGGAAAAAAAGAGTCTGTTTTAGAGTTAACTCCGCCCATACACACCTGACGTCACTCTACTCAAACAGGTATACATAATTCGACACCTGTTGCGCGTTTAGATAAGTCGTTCGGCCGGCGAAAGAGAAGATATCTGCGGGATCTATTCGAGAGTCAACAAAAAGCGGAATAACTTTGTCCTTAAAGCTTTGGTAAGAAGACTTTAGAGTTTAAAGACTAGTTGAATTGCGCGAAGGTTCTGCAGACTAACGCATCAGTTCTTCTTACGGAGTGATTTATAACGCCGAAACTCCTTTTGTTTTTCAGTTCTTATCCACGATGAAGGTTTTGATCGCCTTGTTTGTTGTGGCGTTAGTGGATGTGGTCGCATCACAATGTAAGTAACGACTATTTTAAAACATAAGCTGTTTAAACGTACCTTACAAAGTGAACCATATCGGGTTAAATTATGACAAACTGTTTAATCCTAGTTGTTGTTAACTTGGTAGTTGGGAGGCAAACAAAACCATGAGATCCAGGGTGTGGTTCAGTATGTGGGGGGTGGGGGGAGCTCTACTTCTACTGGGTTATGCGTTTGAATTTAAACCCATCTCCCTAATAAAGTTGTAGTATTTTTAAAACGAAGTCCACTTTTCTCACGATTTTTTTTTGTTTTAAATCCAACAGGTTCTTGTAACAGTATGAAATGGGCCAAATGTGATGGAGACCCATGCCAGTGCACTCTTCAATTTTCTCCAACAAACAAGCAACCGCTTGATTGTACAAAATGTGAGTTTTCTTTTATATGTGCTCTTAAATTTATTTGGTAAATTGTTTTCTTGACTGACTTAACTGGTCTCCCAGTCTGGTTTGAGGAGTTTTGGTAACTCCACCTAAACTAGCTGACCTCCAGCTTCTACCAACAAACCAGGCAGGTTTAAGGTGCTTCGATCATCCCATCAATTGTAGTAAGTGTCTAAAATTCTCCCTACCCACAGTGATTCCCAAGTGCTACCTCATGAAAGCGGAGATGTATCGTGCCAGGAACAACCTGACCACAAGATCAATTAGTGGGAAACCTGTAGAAACTGCCTTTGTGGACAATGATGGCATCTATGACCCAGAGTGTGAGAGTGATGGAAAGTTCAAGGCTATCCAGTGTAATGGCACTGATGTGTGCTGGTGCGTCAACAGTGCTGGTGTGCGCAGAAGTGACAAGGGAGACAAGAACATCAAGTGTGAGCCCGTGGAGACCTAGTGAGTGTGTTTGTATTAGCAGAGCTGTTAACAGGATGTTCTTCTGACCGACACACCTAGTTTGAAGTGTGGTTGGAATATTAATGCTGTTTGTGGAAGGAAGCAAGACTAGTAAATTCTGACAATGCCATGTTTTCTTCTCTAGTTGGGTTCGCCTGGAACTGAAGCATAAAGCAAATGACGCAACCGTTCCTCTTGATGCTACCAAACTGAAGACGTATGTTGCAATTGATTTCTAGGGTCTTGCTGCACCATGTGAAATATGAAGTTTTGCTTTACTGATGTTACTCTTTTACAGTGGGATTGAGAATGCTTTGCTGGAACGTTACAAGTTGGATAAGAAATTTGTATCTGAGGTTAAGGTAAGAATTTACCATTGTTATCTAACCCCTCAACTTGGTACTTGCGGTACAGAACCAAACATGACCCACCTCCTCTTTTCCAGTATGACAGAGATGGCCGTCTCATTGTTGTGGATGTCAAAAAGCCTGAGAAAGAACGTATTACAGACCTGTCTCTCATGACTTACTACATGGAGAAGGATGTGAGTCTCGGTTCAGTTTCTTCTCTTCATATGGTGTTATGTTGTAACTTAATATGTAACAATTAATTTGTCTCTCATAGATCAAAGTTAAGCCCCTCTTTCAAGACGAAAAACCATTTGAAG